AAATTTACCAGCAAGATTATTCTCTTATTGGATATCTGTTCTAGTTGAACATAGAGAGCAGTTACTTAACATCACTGACAGGGCAAACATAAATGTAACTTGTATTTCTTATTCTCTCTCTCTCTCTCACAGGAGCAAGATGATACTGAAATAAAAAGATCAAGCTGTAGTCTGACTTCATGGAATATTCCCAAAGTTTTATAAAGCATTTCCAAAGAGTATGTCTCCAGTGACTTTTCAAAATAAATTCTGATGCTAGCAATGGCAAGTGAAGGAAGCTCCTCTCTTCATATGCCAGGGAAAAATGCCATCTCCTCTACAGCCTGAAATAAAAATTTCAGCCTTTCCTGCAAAACATACCATTATAGGGCAGGCAATCAGGACACTTCTTAATCTTCAAGGTAAAGCAAATGCTCTGACAAGAAGAGGGAATAAATAAATTCTCTCTTCTGACAAGAAGAGAGAATAAGTAACACATTATCCAGCAAGCATCTTATGCAGAAAAATAAATACATGTATAAACAAAAAGAACCGAAGTCACTATAATTATACTACAGGCATGCCACTGACATAGTCTTTGGGAAATAGAAATGCTACACTTCTGATCAAAAAGCCTCTGAGAAACAGACATCAAACACCTGGCAGCCTCTCCCACAAGACATGACGACCAGAGTAGAATCACCAAACTGTGGTTCGTAAGGACATTGTCTATATTTTATATTTTATATTTTAACACAACCTCCTATAAGTGTGTTCAACTTAAATAGCAGTCAGTTTACTGGACACAGCAGGCAATAGTTAAAACTGCAGTCATTTTTAAAGCCAGTAGTTTTGCATTAGCATATACTTCAGTCTCTGTCACATACTGCTTCCTGATAGGTCATTCCCTGGAAACACCAGCCTTATTCTTTATGCAAAAATCACCACACAGACATGCAGAGGAGGACATGGCCAAGAATCTAGTGCACATTTAAGCACAAGTGGAGTCCAATCGGCTCCAGAAATTGCTCCAGAATTGCTTACAGAGTACAGCTTATTTTTTCCACCACGGCATCTATCAACTCCAGAAATATAAGAGACTTCAAGAACCATATCTTAATGTAATTAATGTAGGTAAATGCAACAATGACAAGGCTGCAACTTTGTAACAAGAGCAAATTACACATGGCTGGCGAGTATTATTTTTGTGCTATAGCTTTATTAACTTGTTTCCCTCCTAACTACTACATATCTTCATAGTGTACTATCAGATTGCAAGACAGTCAAGGCTTTCCATTTCATCATAAACACGTCATAAAATAAAACAGAATTTTGATGCTGAAACTGTTCTAAAGTTCATTTCACTATGCACATTTAGCAGCAACATCCAAAAGACCCAATCCTTACAGGTCTCCCGCACAAGACCTCAAGCACCTCCAAAACTGTCTGGTACATGAAAAGTGAGCAAAGCCTCTCTTTCTAGTCCTGATCCAGCCTCACACACTGAGGAGGGCACTGGATTGTTACAGCAACACAAGTTCTGTGTAGGAGAGGTGCATTATTGCAAAGTTGAGGTTGGCATTACCGAAGATACTGGCATAAGATACCTAAACACAACCCTACCCATGATCACACCAGCAGCCACATTCCTGCAGCTCTTTCATCTTTTTTTTTTTCTTTCTGATGTGAAAGCCAGTCTCACATTCTGTTGATGACAATGGAAATCAACTACCTGTCAGTAGTGTCATCCAGCAACTTCAGTTTGCACTGGAATGTTCCAGAGGCTCTTTTCTTCAAAGAGAAGTAATTTTATTTGTGGTAGTATGAACTAGGTTATACAGTTCCCCAGTACAGCCTGAGAAGGGGATGGCTGACTGCCGTTATGCCTGTGGTTAATCCTGCCAATTACTCCATGCATCTTTTCTGAGCACTTCCATACAAGCCACACACCTGTCCTGGTGAAAATGGGAGGTGAAACAGATTGTCTCATAAATCTCACTGAAAAGTGGAGTGCTGGGAAGAGTGCAAAACCGTCTGAACACAGGCAGCCCTACCGGAAAACTTCTTAGCTTATTCAGTTAAGTCCGCAAAACTGAGTGACAAAAGCTTAAGATCTCTCTTATCATCCCACAGAGGGAGACACAGGACTCCTTAAGCTGTTGCTTCCATTGTGACATAAAGTACAACAGCAGTACAAGACGTCACTTCTTTCAATGCTCATAAAAGATTTCATTCTATCAATTGGAAGGATATCCAGAAAAACAGTATGCAAAGATGCACTTGATAATGAAATACAGAGAAATGAAAACAAAACAAGACAAACCAACAACAACAACAACAAAAAACCAAAAAAATGCCAAAAACTCACCAGAATGTAAAAGGAGTTTGAGACTAAAGCTCCCCAAAGAGATAACAACAAATACTGTAAGGGAAACATACATGCCAAATTCAGAAGAAATTTGTGGGAAAAGGTGAAAAATTTCATAGTTTAGAAATGAGTACATACACTGTATTTCACATTTTAATGAAGGAAGAAGGAAATCCCACAAGACAAATGTATGAGATCTCACAAGAATTAAATGAATGAAGAGATTCTTGACTGTACCTGGCGCAAAATAACCTCATTATGTACTGATTAGTCACCGCTAAAGGAATCAGAGCCCCACACAGCAGCATGTTGTTGGTATTCTGAAAGGCCCGCTTCCTATATCTAAAAGTAGTCATACACAAGCCTAATTGATTTCCTTACAAACACTCTAACTAAAATCTGAAATCTGAGAATATCACTTTTTGAGCTTAATGAACAAGAATTCTTCCATTAACAAAACTTTCAGAAGCCTTATCCTCCACAAGCTGATTAAAAAAAATAATAATAATTCTCTCCATTTGGAAAAGAACACAAAAAGAACAATGAATTATACAACCTGTACTGAATGAGGGGGAAAAGAACTCTATGGCAGTGAGTAGGGATCAGGTGTTAGGGAACAGCAGTATCAAATATTAACTTTGTGAGTAGTTTGCAGATGGTAATGGTCAGCGAGATGGAAAGTAAAACAGAAGCAGGCTGCTAGAAGAGGAAGGAGGTTTGCACGATAACTAATACATGATTAAATAGCAAGATTTTTTTTTAACTAGATATTTTAAGAGAAAACATTGTGGCATTTGCAGGATGTCACTAGATGTTCCTAGAAAAAAAGGAAACTGATGACTAGGTAATGGATAGCAAATGAATTCAAAGTGCAATACCACGGGATTGAGAGAATAATACAGACTCTAGTGATGCCATGGGAGAATGATCATCACCACAGGGAAGTGGTACACAGAGTTACATCAACAGGTGAGGATTGACAGCGGATTTGATAAATGTACAGAAAAGCTGCTGAAAGGTATTGAAATCTTATCGTATACTCCAGAAAATATAGGTTGGAGGATGTCATTCATAAAGCAAATGCTGAGGAAGCTTTAATTAAGTGTCACAAGAAAAATCTAGTTTAGAAGATTCTAAAATACAACACACAAAAATGCCATTAATCAAATCTCTGAAATATGAAGAAAATAAAGAACACCAGGCAAAGTAAGGATAACTAAGCATTTGAGCTGATTCACTAGACCTTAACTGTCTTTTTTTCTCAGAGCTTACCTCTTGTTAAATAACAAGAGCATTGTTCCAAGGTAAGAATTAAGTGAAACACTATGACATGCTTCAATAACAAAAGTTGTATTTTAAGACTTACAGAATATGAAAAGTTAAGTCCTACATATCTACATATCTGAAGCATATGGCAGCAAGCTTCCAATGTTTGAACGAATTTAGAGAAAAACTGCATCAGAGAATGCACAGATCAAATGACAAATGCGACAAGAGCTGAACTACATTCCTCAAATAGTCTTTTCTAGTTTAAGGCAGACATCTATTATACAGAGACCACAACTATGACAAAGGAGTTAAGATTTTAATGAATCCTACAAAATATCTGAACAGAATCTAAAAACTAGGTTAACAGATGCACTTTCACTATGTCTAAAATTGAGACAGAAAACAAATTTGAAATCTACCGCTTAGACTATCCAGCTAAAGCTAAAGACCCTTTATTTCTAATTAACCTAAGGATATACAAAATTCAGCAATGTATCTGAAAGTGTTAACATTATGTACTACCATTATTACAGCAGTACAATGTGCTTCAACAACTCTGTAAATAAACCATTTAAAAGATAAACTGTCAGGAGTAACACTGGTTTAAAAACAAAACCACCACCACTAAAAAAAAAACAAAAAACCAAAAAACAAAACCAATAAGAAAGAGACAAGGTCTGTTTCTTTCCTACCTAGGAAAATCAGTTCCACATAAGAGCCTATCTTGGAAGCAGAAAAGCTAGTAAACAATTTTCTTTGCCCCTATACAGCCAATATGAAGATCAGGGATCTTCCTGTTCTCGTGTGTAGAAAACCTGAGAATCTTAGAACTACATCTGCTGGATATGCAAATGAGCATATGTTGAGGCAAAGATCTGTAACATACTCTGCTAAGCCAAGTTAGGTGATGCAAAAACCAGTACTGGAATTGGAATAATGTTTATTCCCTAATTCTTGATCTGGAGCTTTTTATTTCCAGCGACTGAACCAATTTACATTTGACCTCTGCAACAAAATGCCTTCCTTCCATGTATAAACCAAGTGCCTTTTACAAAAGGAATAACCCCGCTTCTCTCCAAATATTTATTCAACCTGAAGCAGAAGCAGGACAGCATTTCAAATCAGCACCAGAAAAAAAAATATCCAAGTTTATTTAGTTAAGTGGGCACCAAAAGAAGACTAAAAACCTCTTAACATACCAAAATTACAAGGTCTTAATTCAGCAACTGTCACTATACATCATGTAGGCTGACAGACTCAAACCCTCTGGGTGCCCTTTAGAGCTGAATTAGCGTAGCAACAGACTGAATAATTTTGCTTTCTTGCACCAGAGAAGTTATGGCTTTTAAATTACATTTACTATGTTTTACTGACAAGTACTTACTTCAGTGAAAGAGAATAGTCGTGCTTGCTTGTTTGACTGTTTCTTACAAGGTAGCTACACTCTTTACATAAACGTAAAAGGTTTTCTGCATCTGTCCGACTGATTGCTCCATGATACCATCTAGGAAAAATCAGAGATTAATAAAGACACATCTCTCAACTCATACTACTTTACTACTTTATTTCTTTAAGGTGTGGATAGCAGTCAATACCATATGGATACATTTAAGATCTAATATATTGCAGATAAAAAACACAATGTTTGCTTTACCTGAAATTAACATTACCACTTGTGGAAGTTTGTAGTCTGTCTCAGCTGAAGGAAAAAAAGTCAGATCAGGAAAGCATGTGATAGAACTGGCACACTTACCAATCTCTACAGTAAGTGGAATAGGTGTATCTTCTATGTAGAAATAAAGTGAATGGGGAGAGGAGGGTCCTTTATTAAACTGACCACTGCAAACAATCTCTTCAGTACCTGCTGCTCTGTATCAGCAAGCAAAATTTTGCAATCCAGTCGGAAGTGCTTTGTCCCTTCCCGAAATGTTCTCCAGTGAGATAACAAGCCTTGCCCTCCACAGGGTTGATTGCTTCTCTGAGAGATCTCCCCCTTCCTGCAACTGTAAGGTGCACTCTGAAGCACTACAGTGCGACACTTCCCCGTCTTCCCAAGCTAGATAATGCATGCATCAGGAATGCTCCCGTTCTGTCTTTACCAGGAACAAAGACTGGCCTTGCAAAAGATTCCTTTTGTTTGTTCTACATTTATTTCCCCGTTTAACTTACTCTGAGAGATGCTCCAATTAAAATATAAGTGAATAAACAGAAGCTCTTTTATCAGAAATCACTGAGCCAATGTCAATTCTGCTGTCAAATCTTGTGAACGTGATAAATGAAAATTGGTGTTAAAAAAAAAAATTCATCTTGTGTCTAGCTACAGCTAAAGTCTATGATAAAGGAAGCTAGAAGTAAGGTTATCCTGCAGCATATTCAAGATGGAGTAGCAAGGGATACCCTAGACAGCTCAATCTCATCACAAATACCACAGAAACAAAGATGTTTCTGTTTTCAGGCACTTCATCAGTTATTTACTGCTGAAGAAAACTTCTCAAAAAGCAGTTTAAAGACTAAATTGTCTTCTGAATGTAAAGAAGAATACTAATATTGTCAATCACAAAATGCATTTCGGAGAGCATAAAAGCCACTTCTATTATTTAAAAATTGTATTTCTTTTTTTCTCCTGAAGGACCAATTGCAGCCAAATAAAATGTAATCTAGCCCAAATCAGGGAGGTACTGAAGTCTGATATTTAGAGGGAAGTATTTAACACATTCTTTGGGCTGCATGTTTCCCAGTTGGCAGGGAGGTTCAATAAGAGCAAGCACAGAGCTGGTTCCAGGGGAAAAAAACAACAAAACATACAACAAAACCTAGTGATTTGAACAGTCAGAAAAAAAAACTACAGCAAAATCTGAAGACAACTGCTGATGGGAGAGCATCTGATTCAGAAATGATGCCTGGAAGCTGTTCTGGCTACAGCTCAGAGTCAACAGCAGTGCTGAGAAGTGTAATTGCTTGTGAATCACATGCCCATGTAAATGGGACATTTGGCTTGCTCCTGTTCCAGCTAGCTAAAGATAAGCATAGTGCTCTAATAAGTTTAAAGTTCCTGCCTAAACTGCAGTTTCAAATGTATTGTGGCTGTTTGCTCTGGGTGTGTCTATTTTTTAGATGTCAACGTATTGATATTTGTATAGAAAGTTCAAAGATTCAGAAGTGAAAGACCTGATAACAAAACTGTAAAATAACTTGTAAAACACACCAATGCAAAAGCACAGGACATGAGAGCCTGAAGACATGTTTATCTCCTAAGGCATCCCGGTAAACAGCAGCATACAGTACAACTTTGGAAGCGAAATTCAAACACAATCACACATAGGCAAACTGAAACCATCCTGACCGTGGTTTATACAAGTTCTTCCTGATTTGCCTTATTTTGTTAACAATCATCTAACAGCCACTATACGGCCACAGCTCCACTGCAGAGAAGACAGCCGCGTCAGTCATGCGTTAGGTGTGATCAGTTACTACAGCTCACAGAAGGCACAATACTATTGTGTTTCTGAATTGGTTAGGGCAAAACAGGAAGTCAGACAGTGTGTGCACAGCAAGGAGAAATTCACTTTCAATAGAACGCACGGAATGCACACTTTCCTTTTTCACTGTTACACTGAGGAAGTGGAACAAATTCATTCAATTCCCCTGTGTCTGTGAGTTAACTCGGTTCATGGTTACGGACTCCTTAGACACAAGCAACTAAAAGTAATTTCTTAATGCATTATTACATCTTGGACTTTCTGCCTGTTTAAGAAACTCCCAAATTACATACTAAAAATTCACTTGTTAATTTGCATGTTTTCATTCCTTGTGCTCCTCTCTACAATAAAAAAATCCACTCATAAGGAGAAAGCATGGAATAGTGCTGTTAAGTAGTCTGACAACAGTAAGAATTGAACACTTTGAATTATTACAAATAATCTAAAGTACAATAAATCCACACTCTTCCATTTTTTGACCAATTATTATTAACTGGTCAATCATTTCAGTATAGTTCCCGCAAAACAAAGAGGCAAAAATAATCTCATGTGATTAACACTTAAAAAGGAAACTTAACACTGAAATAAAACTAAACTAAATAAATAAAATAAATAAATAAAACTAACTCTGCAGACTATAGTTCTAAACTGCAGTAACAATTGTATAAATCTGCTACAATAACCTATTTCCAAGTCTAAAGTTAACTAAGATTTCAACTTTTCACAATGTTTTAAGTTTGTTTTATGTGTTACTGTGGACTGAAACAATTCAAGTTTGAGAACTAAGTTTTACAGCCAAGTTTGTAGTCATCAGTAATTTTTCTGTACTGTAAACAAGTGATTTCACAATAGTGATTACTATTTCTTCTGTTCTAGGTAATTCTACCCTTTGTTGATAGGCAGGTGCCTCAAAGGCTGAGGCTGGCTGGGTGGAAAATGATACGAGGTGGATTATAATATTCACTGTTTCAAGCTGAAGGTTCCAAATGCTAATATCATGTAATGCATGTAAAAATAGTATATCAAAGGAAAAGGAACTGTTGGAATCACCATTGTTCAGACTCAATTGACAAAGGAGATTCTTTCCATCTGAGGAATTGGAAGTGCAAAAAGGTCTCAGTGCTCATCTTACCACTACCACTACCATCCAGGCATGTCCTCAGTTTCACTTGAAAAAAAACCTCTGTGTCTATCACAACACTGTCTATAGTGGGACTCCTTAAGGGATTAAAAACACACATCTCTAGCTTTACCCTTTGAACCTGTAGGAAAACTCACTGCTCACAAATATCAGCATAATCTGTGTAAATCACTCCACAATCCACAATCTTCATTTACGAGGAGTTTCGGGCTCCTTTCATAGGGCTACACTTTTGGGTCACTCCTTCACGCCCTCCAGTCTGTCTGAATAAACTGAGGAACAGTAATGATGCAGGACAGAGGCCATCCTTGCAGATAATAGATTGATTAACTCCATGGAATTCTCCCAGAACTTGAATTTGGAGCTGACAAGGCTGCTTCTACATACCACCCTCAGATCTGACACCACAGAGCAGAAATAGTCTCTTTTATTTAAGTGTTGTTGCTTATCATCAAAATTCTCCCTACAGCAGCATTATAGCCAAATGCAAGGCATGTCCTGAGCTACTAGAAACACAATATGCAGTCATAGAAACACAAGAATTTACACAGCTTTAAAGCACAATTTGGATGTACATGAAAGGTACTTGCTTTTCTTAACGCCACACAACAAGTAGAATAACTGCACACAACTTACTAGATGAAATCGACTGTTCCTGAAAGATTCCTATTTAACTTTATATTGTTTTCCACAGAAATTAGTTTACACCTTAAAGAATTAACAATGGTTCTGAGTGCACTAGCAGAGGGGATGCAGAAGAAGTGGAGATGTAGTGGGATCTAGGATATCTGCTGCTGCTGTAAGCAGGAAACAAATTGCTGGAGAGCAATTACTGGTGTTACTTACATCTGCTTTTCCAGTGGAACAGTTGGATCTATTCTTTCTCCTAAAATCCCACAAAATTCTGGACTGCCATGTTTGATGGGTTTAAAGCCTCTTCCAGGTGCTCTTAACTGCCTGCGTTGGTCATTTGAAGAAGAAGGAGATGCTTGCCGTTTCTCACTTCCATTAAATTGGGCTGCAAGATATACAAAAGTTACTTCTCTAGGCAAGTTTAACAAGAAGCAACATGGTTGTATTTAGAGAAGTTTCACACTTCCCAAGGAGAATAAGCATGCATCCATTAACATTAAAATGGTTTGCCTTCAAAGTTATATTTATCATCCAGAAATGTTTGTAACAATGCAAATTACAGACCTAAAAATCCACACACTTCTAAATCCTGTTAAAATTGTCAATGCTTATGTTAACACCTAGTCTTGTCTTCTCAGTAGATGATGCTGAGGAAATACTCCTTGCAGTTATGAACACAGGCTTTCACTCAAGAACATCACAAACTCAGCTTGCCTCAGCTTACATGAAATCATCCACACAGTGATTCTGGTGCAATTTCAGACTGGTGACACCCATCTACATGCATCAGAAATGCTAGCAAGTAGCAAACAGTTTAAAATGTTTTCTTTTACAACACTGCCACAAAGTTTTTTTTTACTCAAATACTAGGGCATGAAATGCTGAAAAGAAAAAATTGCATTTGTAATGTTTCTCTCACAAACTGTATTATGTCAGGAAAAGCAATATGGTTATTTATCAAAGCACATATGAACAAGGCCTGCAGCCTGATTCCCATTAAAAAAATTGACACACTTAGAGATTTTACATATCTATAACTTCAAAGAATTCAAGGATCAAATTCTGACGGAAGCAGCGAAAGGAGCTATCTACACTTTCTAGACACACACTGCCTTCTGGGGTTTCTTTCTTCATTGTAAAATAACCGGCTGTAGATAGATTATTGTTCTAAAAATCATATAGGGGAGAACAGGTTGAACAAACCTCACTGTATCTGCAGGCAAATATCACAGTGCACACAGAACAGCTTTTAAACAGCTTTTATGTGAATTTCAACAGCAGCATTAGAGAAAATGAAAATATTGTAAGGACAATTACAGAGAATCACTATCACAGCATGTTGCAGATCATGTGCATTTAGGTCTCAGCTTGTAACACACAGACAGCTAGGCATGTGTCTGCTAGTACTTACTGCTTTAAAGCAATTGGACAATAGGAAAAAGCTGTAATCTTCAATAACACAATTCATACAGAATAGATATGTGTTGGACATGGAAAAATCTTGTGGAGGGTTTTGCTTCGGTTATTTTTATATGCTTTCCACATGTCTTGGGCACACTTTCAAATTGCCCCTCTTTTTTGAGAAATTAGGCACTAAACATTATCAAAATTGGACAGATGCAGTAACTCACATTCCGAACTACACAGGCAGAAATACGGTTACATTTTGAAATGTACATTCACATTTAACCTTACTGAGAGCTGACTAGCATAACAAGGAGAAATACTGCATGTGTATATTTGCAAGTGACACATGAACAGCACATTGTTTCAACTTCAAGAAACACCTGGGTACTGTAATATGGGAACTCTGTGAAAGTAGGTGATCTTAATGTTATCAGCTACTGATTGAGCAACATCTTCCAGATGCCAGAAATCAGTTCATAAAACAAACATGAAATTCAGTTCCTAACAGTAGCAGCAGAATCTTTAAAACATTATGATAGTTAAAAATAGGACTCGTTGGGCAAAAATAGCACAGACAAAGTTAAATTTCAAATGATTTGAATGCTTTTGTCTGAAAAGTTCAGACAGTCTCTGGACTCATGCCCTATTTCTTTTTTGTGAACTAAATTGGCGGGAAGAAGCAGTCTAAGGGGATATATCCTGGCAGACAAAACTGGCAAGTGTGATAACTCAGTTCAGCACCAACCCATACGATGGTCTTATCAGATGAATTTTTAGGGCACTGTAAATCCACTCTCCATGTAAGTTGCAACACATATTGTGACAATTCATGTTAAACTCCATGCAGCTAGGAGTGAAAAGTTAGTTACTGCATTGGTATTTGTGTTTATGTGGACGTCAGCTATGGAACTGACTGCATCCCAGCCTTTGCACACCATCCTCATGTGTTCTCTTCTCCTGCCTTTAGCTGGTGGCTCATCCTTCTGGAGTTGGTGTGGCAGAGCTGTCCTGGTCCGTGTTGACCAGGGTCCCCGGCAGTAACAGTTGCATCCAGCACATTTGGCTAAGCTTGGAATTTGAAGATCCTCCATCAAGAGCTCTGTGATCAGTGCTACGTGGTGAAAACTACTACCTGCTTCATAACAGAGGGCCACTTATTTTACTAAGCGATACTGAGATAGGCTCTACAGACCTTGTGTGCATTTCCTTTTCCCAGAGGTCTGTTCTGCCCACAGCAATACGGAAAGCCTGTTTTCCCTCACACCCAAGGAGGAACCCATGTCAGATTGAAGGTACCAAACCATCTCTCTGGTGTTGCTATCTCCTTTTTCAGACAGACTTACTTTCCAGAAAGTTACTCTGTCTCTGTGATTTTGCCATACTCAGCTCTTCCGGGCAAACTAGTTTGCCTAGCTCAACAGGAGGCCTAACAAGAGAGGCCCCACACCTAATAAAGGCCTTGAAAAACACATTTCAGCTGAAGCCATTATTTCCTTCCTATTTTCTCGTCTGTACTGCCTCCAATGAAATAAAACTAAACCTTTTTGTGAAAGCACTCAAGCTGCAGACAGCCAAAATGCTGCACTCCATTCCATATTGCCACATCTTTCAGCGCTGCACATAACAGCTGCAGCACTCAGCCGGTGCTGCTCAGCCATCACAGCCTGCGCACACCTTTAGTTTGGCACATCTCAGACTCCAGGCTGGAGACAGACAGCTTCTCTCCATGCTTCCGCAACAAATCTTGAAGTCATGCCAGATGTACAAACGTCTTCCTAAAAAGGCTTGCATGAGTAGTTGACTTCATGGTAATTCTAGTGTTTCTTGCCATTTTGGCTTATTTCCTAAATCCATCACCTAACAAATCAAAAACGTTTGCTGCATAAAGCTCATTGTGTCTGCACTTCACATCACAGATGCATGCTGTTCCCTGCAAATAAACCTCTCAACAAAGGAAGGTTTTAGCAGGAGCTGCCTGCAGGTTCACAACCTCTACTGCTCTATGAAGCCAGACTTGCTCCTTGCAAGAATTTCTAATACCATTAGGCCAATGTGCTATTCAGAGAAATCCACCTGAGTTCAAAATTGAGCAAAACCCATCCAGCCTGTTTAGCTAGCTACATTACAGAACCACGGTATGCAGAAAAGTAATTCACACACCTCATCATAGGGTCAGTACTTCTCCAGTGCAAACATTTCATTGTTTCAAACTTAGGAGTTGGATCTCTTCTTTTCTTATTTTAAATATTTATAAATCCAAGGAATTAGAGTAAGAACAGAAAGAACGGGTTATGAAGCAGCCTGCAGACATTCCTGATACACTGCTTTGTAACAAATAACCAGGTGCCTAAGACATAGTGAGCTATAATGAATGACACACCCCATTTCAGAAATCTTATTCATCTAAAAGCTTATTTTCCTAGCACTGTAAAACAGAACTCTGCACGTTGATGAGCCCATGGGGAATCCAACCATATCGTAACACTTTTTAATTAAATTTCTTCTTAATCTGTTAATTTTGTACAGCAATGTTTTAACTTAGTATGCTTTCATTAAAGTTTACAATATAATGCTTTAGAAGAATATTTACACACAGACAAATCAGAAAATGTAATAATATCTATAGATTGTGCCTTGTTAATTTACATTCATGTATATACAAATTAAGAAGTACACAATGAAGAAAGAATTGACAATGCTAAGGTCTTTTTAAAATCAACACTCAAGAAAGACTATTTCAGAATTCACTCATTAAAGATCAAAAAAGTTGGTCACAAAAATGATTACAGGACTAAGCGACTTCACAAATGCCAAGTAGCGCAAAATAAGAAATGCAATAGAAACTAATACATTTATCCTCTGAATTTAATTAAAACTCAACATTTTCATACGATATGCACAATACATGAAGAGTAAGGCCTAAGATTTCCATGTGCACACAGGTCTTAGGACAATAACTTTTGAAGCCAGTAATCTCCCTTCTGTGTCTGCTGTATTACTAATTGAGAAATCTATGAGGTGTGATCTCACTGCAGACAGATGTGCCCTGGCCCCACAGAGTTGTACAGTAAATATTTAGCTTGTATCTCAATGTTGCTAAACAATGAAGTTTCTGTCTCAGCTATTGTACATACATTGAAAGAAAAATGACCTCTGGGTACACACAATTACTACCCTTGTGCTGGAAGATCACTGACTGATATTATTCTTAGTCATTGGAAAATTATCAAAAATACTACATAAGGAAAAGCTCAGTTCACAAGGCTAAAACTATACTAAACTATGCTGCAGAAAGAAGCTGCAGTTAAACAGCTTCAAAGAATTCTGCATTTAAGTATTTAAGTGTCACATACACAAGCATGTGTTTCTCTCCAACATCATTTTACTATTCAAGGTCTTTATTCAAATAAAGCATTCTTTGCTCAAAAGTAGCTCTAGTCCCAAGTGGTAAGAATGGCTGGCTACGCCTACAGCCAAACCAATACTAGACAGAATGGCAAAAACTTGGACGTCTCTCAGATAATACATCCAGCCAAAAGTAACTGTACAGTTTCTTTGCAGAAGCTCTTCAACAGCAATCTGTTGTCCCTGCAGACTTTCTCATGATACCCATGCTAGCCCAGAGGTCTACAAAGGCTGGGATGAAAAAAAAAAACACAACACACCAGCATGCAAGATGCAGACACAGCAACAGAGAGGAGAAGACAGGAAATCCTCTCTGGAATAAAGTAAATTCTCTGGGAAACTGTGCAAAACTACCACAAATCCACTGCCTATGGCACTGCACAGCCCTTGCAGGCAGCCTATAGATCCTTCCAAGCAGCAGATACTCTACCTCTGCAACAGAGTTACTAGAGACCATGCTACAGTGTAGTAAGGTTATTGAATCAGGAGACTGATGCTGTACATCTGCTGCAGCCACTGACAGCTTTGCTGCCATCATAAGGAAACCAAAAGGCTCTAAGTAAGTTGGGCAGTGATACGTAGGCCATAAAAAGGCTGCAATAGGTCAGAACAAAGAAAGGATTTACACACATATGCAGGACTGACTTTCAGAATCTGCTGCTGTAGTCCTGGAAACCCAGTGATATGTATCTCCTCAGAATATGGTCAAACTGACCAACCTATCCTGACACACAACAGATATCTCAAATTGTAGCCAGGATCTCACAGACAGACAAGTCTCCCAGCACAATTTTTGTAAACATTTTAATTGGCCTAACAAAGGGGATGAGTCAGTTCAGGCAAGCCTGAACTGAAGCCTGCTGCCAACACAGCAGGGCTCAGGACCAGAGCTGTACATTCTATTTGAAGCCATATAAACAGGTTAAGAATTTAGTTAAGAGTTCATGCAATGTAGGGAGAGAGACTGTACTGCACAGCATGCAGCACAACTGGATGGTGGCTTACATCCAGGTTCTGAACAACTATTAGCATATACTTAAGGTAAAGTGACTGAGTATGGAATCCCACAAGGTTATTTGTTTGGCATGCTGAAGCACACCACGCTGCTAGAAAGTAGAAATCAGTTTTCTCTATCCTACTTCTCTCTTCTGTAGGACTCCAGCAAGAAGCTTATTTTTAAGCAACTGCTTCAGGTTCACCTGGGTCTTTTGCTCCTAGCTCCTTTTTTCATTATAGGTTTCACAGACATCAGCTTGGTTTGGAAAAATGTAACACCAACTGCAACATAAAGACATACAAATAAACGAAGCAGAGGAATAGAATCACTCACACATCACATCTTCACTGCTTTATTATATTGTGCTACAAAAGAAATGCATTTGTGCCATTCACCTGCACCTACTTATCAGGCAATCAGGTTAGAAACACCCAAGCAGAGTAGTATCACAACAGGCTGTATCCAACACTAGCCCTGTAGATCTGTGGAGACAAGTAACTCCCCATTTATGCAGTGTGGTAATATTATGGTACACAGATCTGCAATATCAGGGATTAATTCAGGTACAAAGACGCCTTGGGAGCTGCGTAGTCCAATTTGGCAGGGTCCACTATGTGATCAGGTAATTCCGAACTTTATATAGCCATCCATTCACATAGGATAAAAACATCTGAAGATGAAGACCACAAAATCTCCTTAGGCAATCAGCTCCAATGCTTGGCTGTCCTCAAAGAGGAGAAAACTTCTTCTGCATATCAAGTCAGAACCTTGCCTTATTGAACTTAATGCTTGTTATCTCTAACCTTCTCATCACACATCTGCTCATCTGTGAAGAGCTTCTCTCTCTTCTTAATGACTTCCTCGGATACACTGAAAAACTACTTATTTGAGCTCTCCAAAGTTTTCTCTTCTGCAGGCTAAGACCAGTCCTCAGCATCTCCTCACTAGTCACGTGCTGCAGTTTCCTGCCATTTTGGTGTCTCTCTGCTGAAATCAACACTTATCAACATCTCCCTGGCATCAGAATAGTAAACACAGCATAGCTGACTGCTCACGGTTTGGATGGGCATATGCTCTGCTGGGTGAAACTCTGGCTGGACTGCTGGGCCCAAAGAGTTGTAGTCAATAGAGTTAAATCCAGTTGGTGGCCGGTCACGAGTGGTGTCCCCTAGGGCTTGGTAATGGGGCCACTTCTATTTAACATCTTTATTAATGATCTCGATGAGGGGATTGAGTGCACCTTCAGTAAGCCTTCAGATGACACCAAGATGGGAGGGAATGCTGGAGGGGAGAAAGGTAATACACAGGGACCTGGATAGACTGGATCAATGGGCCAAGGTAAACTGCGTGAGTTTCAATAGGGCCAAGTGTTGGATTCTGCATTTTGGATGCAACAACCCCAGGCAACCCTACAGGCTTGGGGAGGAGTGGCTGGTGGAAAGGGACATCAGTGTACTGATGGACAGTTGGCTGAATATAAGTCAGCAGCGTGTCTAGGTGACCAAGAAGGACAAAGTCATCCTGGCTTGTATCAGGAATGGTGTGGTGAGCAGGACTAGGGAAGTCATCCTGCCCCTGTACTCAGCACTGGTGAGGCCTCATCTCGAGTACTGTGTTCACTTTTGGGCACCTCAGTACAGAAAGGACATGGAGGTGCAGGAGCAGGTCCAAAGAAGGGCAACAAGGCTTGTAAAGGGCTTGGAGAATATGTTCTATGAGGAGAGGCTGAGTGAACTGGGCTGTTTAGTCTGAGGAAAAGGCAGCTGAGGGGAGACCTTATTGCTCTCTTCCAATATCTGAAAGGTGCATACAGAGAGAACAGAGTTGGTCTCTTCTCACTGGTGACGGGATGAGGGGAAATGGCCTCAAGTTGTGCCAGGGGAGGTTTAGGTTGGATATCAGGAAACACTTCTTTACAGAAAGGGTTGTTAAGCACTGGAAGAGGCTCCCCAGGGAGGTGGTTGAGTCATCATCCCTGGATGTGTTTAAAAACCATTTGGATGTCCTTAAGCTCTTTCACAACCTGAACAATGTTATGATTCTGTTATTTTAACATTCCATACATTGTCCAAGAAATGTCAACTGAAGGGCTACTGACTATACTCCACACAAGTGAAGATGCTGCTTTCCTTCATCACGACTAGGGAACACTACTAGCCATGTTTACCTCACTTTCCCCAGGATTCCCAGCCCATTTCCAGTAAAGCTGTAAAATGGGAAGCCAGACAGTCCTTACTTTGTATCACTGAAGGGGGTCAGTCTGCTCCAGATGCAGATTTTTAAGTTTGTTCTAATTGGGTTTCACAAGCTTATTGTCAGTCCATTTCTCCAGCCTGTTTTATTCCCCTGAATGACAGCTCTGTACTCTTCTCATTTGAAGCAATTCCAAACTTGATGTGCGCTTCCTCCCCTCGACTAGATTACTGATAAAGACATCAAAAAGGGAGGGTTCCAGAATTGGTCCTCTATAAAATCACATTTATGCAGAGTCCAGGAAGAGTATCAGTCACTGCCCTTTGGTAGTCCAATGGCCTGGAAATACTTCCACTCATCTTGTACTATACCAATCTAGGTTATAGCATTTCGAACTAGGTAACAGGAATGCCACTGTATAATGTGTTGAAGGCTAAACCTAAGGCAGATATCTACTGCCCTTCCTTCTCACTGCAAACATAGAGATTCTACCAATGAAAAAGCTTTTGGCCTTTAGAATCACACCAGTGAATGAAGCCCCTTCTGCTTTTTCTGCAAAGCAACAGAAGGGAGAAAGGAGAACATAACCAACAACAAGCACAGACATTTGCAGAGAGAGCAATTCATTTTCTGCACGATCTCTATGACTGAGAAGTTCTGCAATTCAGAAGGATTAATCTGAAAACAAGTTCTACAAATCCAGAGAAATGATGAATGATTAAATTGAAAATGACAGCTATCAAAAAACACTGGTGAGGAGAAGAATGTTATTGCAGGCACATTACATGGCTTTTTGTCCCGCCCCTTTAAGAATTGGCCCACTGTTTAAGGACACTGCAAAGACACTCTCTCATCATAGATCCACCTAACAATAAACACTATCTGCATGACATTCATTAAAATAGGGGTGAGACTAAGAGGTGGGAGAAATGAGATGTTTATTAACATTAAGTAAGTGCTGAGATAATTCACAATAGCTGAAGCACCGAATAGGAAAGTGCAATGTTGCACATTTCTGAAGATTTTGGACTATGTATATTTCTTTTTCAGAGATTTCTCCCCTCTCTCTGATCCCAAAAGAACAAAATATTCTAATTCTCCCAAAGGGAAAAACAAATACTGTGAGAGAGAATTTTCTGGCCAGAATCTAAGAATCCTACCTGCCAGAGCTGGGATGGTGACTTTATTCCACTCCCACGGCTGATCATACTCATCTGCAGGCCTGTCATCATCCTGTGGCAATTTGCTTTCTCGTAAACGTTGACTCACCACACTTTCAGAATCGGACTCCACACCACTACCTTCTGGTTCATAGGGTGTGTCGTAAAGCTGCATGTTTTTCTGATGGGTCTTCATGCCTTCCTGCTTCTGGAACTCTGTTGTCAGGAAAGAGAATTGCATCAGTGTCACTACCCACAATGCCTTATCATCACTGTTAATTTTAGAGAGTTCAGCTTCCACATACTCCTTAATTTCTGCTTAATTACACATATTGCAAGCTGCTACAAGACTTCTGAATTCCACCTCTGCATTTGGTTAACTGTTTGGAAGCAAAAGCTTGCTCTAGCTAACAATCATAGTACGGAAAGTCTTATGCCTCCAACACACCTCAGCTTGTGTAGAACCAGATTATAGGAAACACAGTACTTGTCAGTCTGTGCAAGGTACATTTACAAACAACTGAATGTAAATCCTCAAGAACACTGATATTTTGTATGTGGTTAAGTCTTCAGGAAGAGATAATTCAGATACAAAGACCAACCAAAATGAATTCCATAGTGTAATTAAATGTGCTGATAAAAAAATTCTCTAGGGAATGCAGAATATCAGCAAAAAAATGAACTGGAACTACAATAAGAAGATGCAACCAAAGCAGTGATAAATAGATCTTAGTTTACATTGTATTATGGGACAAAATTGACAGAAACATAGGGGATGAAAGGGACTTCTGGAGATCACCAACTTCAACCCTCCGCTGAGGCAGGTTCTCTGAAGTAGGTCATATAGGAAAGCATCCAAGTGAGTTTTGAATATCTCCACAGAACAAGGCTCTTTGGGTTACTTCTTCCAATGCTCTGCAACCCTTCCAGTAAAGAAGTTTTTCCTCATGTTCAGATGGAACACTGATGAAAATCAAGACCCATTACTGACCACTAGGGAAAATGCCTCAAACAATATGTATTCCTTTAAGTTAACATGGACTTTGTTAAAAAATAAGCATGACAAGCTTCATGGAAAGCAACATTGCACTGTGATTCTGGTTTATCCGTTCCTGGGAGATTACAAAGCTGCAGTCACTCTGTCTACTAGTGGGGGCATTTCAGAAGACCTATCAACCCTGCGTAAAAACAACATAAAAGAAGGTTTTCAAGCTCTGGTAACAAATTTAATTCCCTCTTGAATATCTGTTTTGTCTAGAAAATGCATGTCTTCAGTACAAGTCTTCAGGAGTGTCATTACATTTAAGCATTAAGGTGAATTTTATATGTACAAATCAAGCCACTTGTGAAGTGTACAAGAGGCGGAAGCAGGGTCAGGTGACCTGGGAAGAATATACAGATAGTGACTGACTGCACCAGAATGAAGTTAGAAATGCCAAAGGTCACTTGGATTTTACTCCTGTGAAGTCAAGAAGAAAGTAATTCAGCAGCAGTGGGAAAGCTAGGATAAACGTGGGTCACAGCTAGATGTAGCAGGTGAACTAGATAAAAAAGACAAAGAAGAGGCAGAAACATTAAATTCCTCCCTCTCCTCAGTCATTACTGGTAAGACCCCAGACCCAGGAATCTCAGACCTCTAAGAATAGAGGGGAGAGTATGGACCAGGGCACCATCCTGGTGGAGAACTATCAGAATCAGAGCATAAATATTTGAAAAACCGGAAATGTAGAAATCTATGGGAGATGATGCTATAAACTACAGGTGCTGGTGAGAACAGTCTCTACTGTCGATTGAATGGCTGTGGTAACCTTGATACTGAAGAAGGAAACTGTAAGAAAGTAAATGGCAACTCCAGTCTTCAAGAAAGAAGATGTGGTAAACCAATCAGTCCCACTTCAGTTCTAGGAAAGGTGTCAGAGCATCTAGTCTTTGAAGCCATTTCCAGAGATGTGAACAATGATTGTGAGTACCCAGCATGGATTTACAACAGGAAAACTGCTTGAACAGCCTGATAGCCTTTCACAGTAAGATGAGTAGCTTGGCAGATGAGGATAAGCAGTGGCTGTATGTTCTTAGTTGCATTACCTAAAGTACTGCCAGCAGTCACAAGGTGGTGATATCTTCTCCCTGCTAAGAGCTAGTGAGGCCATAGCTGGAGAGCTACGTCCAGTTGTAGGCCATCTGGTGAAGAGGAGACATACTGCAGAGTATCCAGCATAGGACCACAAAGATGATGATGAGACTGGAGCATGTCTCCAATAAAAAAAGGTTGTGAGAGCTGAGGCTGTTTAGCCTGCAAAGGTAAGAAAGGATCTCTTAGAAAGGGTCTTCAGGTACATAAATACCCAAAGGCACAGAGTGAAGACAGAGCAAAACTCTTCTTGCAAAGCTCTGTGACAAGGCAAGAGGCAGAAAGCATAAATCAAAATACATTAAATTTATTCACTTACACAGAAGAAAATTTTTTGTTTTTTACTGTCAAACATGAAACAGGTGGCCTAGAGAGATACTATAGAGATACTAGAGACCTGATTAGTATAATTGTAGGCATAATTACAGGCAACCTGTTCTACTGACTCTGCTTGACCAGAAAAACAAAAAAGAATCAGAGAAAAGGAGAGAATTTTTTAATAAATGATGCAAGACATAGAGCAGTCCTCCTCACTTCATCAATTCATCAGTCAGTAACACTGATAGAATAACTGTTCCAGATTATTTAAAAAATACCGTGAAATATCTGTAAGAGGACAACACCCTTTTTGCTTAAAACAAACAAACAACTAAACTTTGTGTATTATAAATATACTAAACCTGATGAAACCTACATCACAGCCAATGATGTAAATACAAACATCAGATAGGTCAGGATGATTCCTAGTTACAAACGAAAACCACATTAACACAGTCCAATACTGGGAAAATCTAGAAAATGGCATTCAAAAGAACTGTGCTTTCAACCTGCCTGAAGCAGAACACAGTCCTTGTTTCAACTATCTTTTTAAAATGCTGCATTAAAAAAAGTATGCTGCATTAGAAAGAACACATGGCTGACACTCTCCTGAACTCCCCTGGATCAAAGACAAACATAGTATTTCTTCTAAGTCACTAATCTTACATGCCTGTCTGTCTTCCAGTACTGCGAAGCCACCCATGGCTATCCCAGGAAGTTTGCATCACTGCGAACAGAAACCAGAATTCCAAATTGTATAATTTATCTTCATTTTAAGTACCAAAGACATCTACACCGATAGCTGCCACATATAAGATTATATGAAAACAGGAGTCCATGATCAACATTTTTCATTTACTCACAGAATTACAGCATCAGTCTGCACAGAAAAGATAACCTCATAATAGAAGGCCTTTCATGTCTTGTGGTCAGAAACCGCAATGAAAAAAAAACATCAATTTTTGATCCTGAAGCAGAAAATTTTACCTAGGAAAGACTCAGGAGAGAAAAGAAGTGGAAGGAGAAAACGTATGTGTGTACATATAGATATATACTTTTCACAGTTTCCTATAAACTTGTCTGAAAGTCTATCTTTTACATAATATACTGGAAGTACATACGAAGTAATTCTACTGAAAGCAGAACACAAAAAAAATTGTTCCTTTGTAGGCAGCGAAGTTGATACTATAATATGAGCAGTGTTAGACACTCATAGCTCAGTCAAGACTGCACTGCATAATCTCCATCAATGACAGCTCTAAGTACTAAAATAGTCATAGTTAGTGACGAGGGAGTCCAAAACTGTATTACTGCACTGGCTTTGGACCTTTAAAAGGTCAAGTAGCAAGGGCAACAAAAAGTACATTGAAAACACAGTGCAGATTTTACAGGCTGTTCTCAGTTCACACTTTAGTGTTTTGAAATTCCGATTTACTAATTATTTGAAATATTACTGCCGATACAGAAAAGTACATTTCTATAGAATTATGTTCTTTGTTACTCAGTAGAAGAAAAACAACTGACGGTTTGAAAGAACTAATTTTGGTAGTAGAGTGGAAAACATCATGGTAACTCTTGCTCTCTCAAATTAGCAGATATAATAGAATAAGGCCTCAGGAGACTGGAGTCTTTTGTAAACCAGAGAACCTGACCAGTAAAATACAGCAACAGAGGCATCTGGTAGCACAAGATTCTGTAATACATGACCGAATTTGACATTCTTCCTTCTAGCTGGTGAGCAAATTCAGCAAAAATGCACATACAGAGCAGACCTTGAGCTGCACCGGATATCCTCATGGTAAGGTCATCGTAAACCTTTTAATAATCTTAAATCCATCATAAGCACTACTCACTGATATGCTGTATTCCTGAGGTGAATTTGGAGAGAATTTGGATATGCCATCAAGAAAACAACTATGCAGAAAACAAAAGTGAATTCTGAAGGCAGTACTTCTTGCTTTCAAAATCCAATAGGAGAGAATCAAAGGTCTCTGCCCAAGAGGATGCAACAAAACTGCAGATCCTCCTACAGTATACAGAAGCCACTGGATATTTCTTGCATCTCAACTTGAAGTGCCTGCTAATAAGCGGTGAAAGAATCTTGTTGCATTCATAAATAAAATTTCTGGCAACAAAAGAATTATTTTCCCAAATGAACTATGCCTGTGTCACTAGGCAGTAATAAAGTCAAAGCAAACTGATGTACCATTTCACCCCCCCACCCTCCTTTGTAACATTTATTTGGAGCAAAAACAAAGCAAATGAGGCCTCCCGCAACAGCGTAAAGAAAAATGAAATTAAGCACCTGAGAAAAATTTTTTTCTTTCTTGTGTCACAAAAGGCAGTGAGCTAAAGACTCTTGGTCAGACTAAAAACACCAATTTACTGTACTGAAGTAGAAATATCTTTCTTACCTGCATCCAATATGCCAAAAGAGAGGCTGCTGTTCAATCAGATATAACTTTCCTGCAGTCTATGAGGGCTATTTAATAAAGGACAGAAGTGGCACTAGCACATAGAGTTCTTGCCTTTGGACAAAATCCTCATACTGGCTCAGCTTAGTTCTAGCCTGCAAGAGGCAGTGCGGGCAATCAAATGAATCTCCCTATTTTTTCAATCCTAAGTTCCACAAGAGAGTATTTTCAATTCCTTATATGCAAGGACTTCACAGCATCTGTGATAACATAGATGTATGAGTTTCCTTATCATTCTGATAATAACACTTCTGCATGCTTTTTTAAGAAAGAGATAGCGTAATTAGATACAG